GCCCAAGCACAGCACTGAGGAAACTGGAGGAGAGAGGGACAGAGGGAAAGAAACAGAGGGAGGAGAAGAGAGAGGCCCCTCTCTGTCCACTGCGGCTTCCCTGCAGACCCAGAGCGCCCACTGCCATCCCCACCCCCATCCTGGCACAGCTGGGCCAAGAAAGATGAGGGAGGGGGCGGGGGAGTCAGAGAAGGGAGCTGTGGGACCCCACACCCAACTCCCAACCCTGGGCTCTCACCGTCCACGGCCACCTCTCCCTGCCCCAGGGGTCTCAGGATGGAGTCGCAGACACCATGCGGGGCAGAGAGGCCCTTTACTCAAAGAGATAGGAACCAAGGATGGAAGGGTGAATGGGGACCCACCGGGATCGAGAGATGCCAGGCAGGCGGGCAGCGGGCAGGCAGCAGCGGGTGTCGGAGACTGCTGCGGGCAGCCGGACACAACCGGCTGGATGCTCGTCCCTCCGTCCCTCTGTCCATCCAGGGCGGCTCCTCTCTGGGCGGTTCTGAGGCCAGGCGGGCGCTGTTAAAAAGCTTTTTATGTGTGTGTGTGTTAATCACATGATTGCCGTTCACCTGTATTTCGAACAAAGACAGCTCACTGTTTCAAGGCCCCGAACAAGAGTCTGGGCACAGGGAAGAGAAGGGAGGCGGGGGGAGGAGGGTTGGCAGCGCCGGGGGTGGCGTCGAGGAAAACTGGGGGGAGATTGTCCAAGGCCGGCAAGCGGGAGAAAGAGAAAACCCTTATCAAACTCCTAATTCACTGGGCTCCGAGGCCCCAGACACACTGGCCCGATTGTCTGGCTGGTTGTGTGTGCGAGCATGCGTGTGTGTGTGTGTGTGTCCGCTCCCCCCACCCCCAACATGCCTTCGCCTCGTGTGACTACCTCATTGTGTCCCATTACCCACCCCCCTCCACTCCCTTGGCCCTTCTCGGGCATGAGGCCTTGCCTAGACCCCCTTTCCAGCCCTACTCCAGACGGGACTCCCTTGGGGTGGGCTGGGGGCCTTGCCCAGCTACTGAGGAGCTGAGAACCATACCTGGTGGCCAGGGTGGCCCAGGCTCCTTCTGTCCCTGCATGCATGCCCCACTGCCTCGACACCCACCCACTGAGAAGACAGGCTGTGACCCTTGGAGGAGAGACCTAGGAAAGAGGAGAGAATAAGGAGCCTTGGATGATGGACAGGACAGAAAAACGGAGGGCTTCACCCAGCTGGGGAGAGAGCTGAGGGGGGAAGTGGGCAAAGAAGAGGTAGAGGGGGCCAGGACAACTCCCTCCCCTTCCTTGGGGTGAGGGACTGGAAGACTTCATGATAACCAGGAGTGGGAACCCCCTCAAGAGAGCATGAACCCAGTGTGAAGGGAGTTGGGGCCCAGAAGCCTTTCGTGCCTGCTGGGAGAGGACCCTCGGCCCCATGCCCAGCCTCCTGGGAACATAGGGGAGCTAGCGCACCCCTACACGTCCCAGTCTCCAAAGAGAAGGGACCAGGGGTCAAGCCAGGGCATCTGCGCTGGGCAGGAGTTTCCAGCTGTCCCCCGGCATACGACGCATAGACCTGGATCTCTGACGCATAGACCTGGATCTCTGGAAGGGAGGCAGAGCGGGCAGCCTGTGTGGGGGCTGGGTCACAGGGGAGCTGGGAAGCAGGGCCTGGCCACAGGCCCTCAGTAAGGCACCTGCACTGGAGCCAGCACAAGCCAGCGGCCCTCACGGGTCAACAGAACCTTCGCCTCCCTTCTTCTCATACTTCCCCAAACTTTTGCCAACTGCCTATCCCGCCAAGGGAGGCAGAGATTGGGGGGTTCCAGTTGGGCCCAAAAATTCCTCCAAGCGACAGGTCCAGACCCCACCCACCTGCATCCCTTGGCTTTCCTGGCCTGCCTGCCCCAACTCCTACACCTTCCCCACTAAGCTCAGACCCCAGGATGGGCCTGGGATAGCAGCTCGGGGAGCTGGGGTGGGGGCGCCTAGCGGAGGAGCCCTGAGTGTTGGGGACGAAGGAAAGCGCTGGAGGCTCCACCTTCTGCCCTTCCCTCCCTCCCCTCCCCCTCCCCCCCTCCCCCTCCTTCCTTCCCCAGCCCTCAGCAGCAGCTCGGTGCTCAGTCAGTCTCAGGCTGTCCGGCCAGGGTGGTTGGTGGTGAGGATTCAGGCTCCGTCCTGACCAGGCCGTGGCCTGAGGCTCAGGGCCCCCAGCCCCTCCCTCCCAGCCCACCAGCGTCACCCCCCAGCCCCGAGCTGGACCGCACACCTTGGGACACGGTTTTCAACTTCCTAAGGACGAGCCCCAGGCTGGAGGAGAGGTCCGAGGAGGTGAGTGAGTGCGCAGCCCGCTCCTCCCTTCCTGGGCCCAGGCCTGGGACCCTGCTGTGGGGCGTGGGGTGGAGAGAGGTTGACACTGCACCTGCCCCCCACCCAGCTCCTCTAGACTCCGTCGGACAGGCGGAAAGGAAGAAGGAAAGGTGAGAGAAAAGGTGGGAAATTCCAGGAGCCAGGATTAGAGCAGAATAAAGAGTCCGTTTTTCTTCCTTTCCATCAACAAACCTCCACCCAAAAGGAGGTTAAAAAAAAAAAAACCCCAAACCCACCCACACCAAGAGACGGTTGGGACCAGGAGGCGGGAGCTAGGAGGCTAAGCCGGGTCTGGCATGTGCGCAGGCCCCGGGGGCTGCAGTGAGTTGAGGGGGAGCGGGGCGGGCGCCACCTCGGGGCTGCGCCCGCGTCGCGTCCGGGGCCGACGTCGGGGCTGCGCGCACGGCTGCTCCATCGCGCCCTTCCACCCGTCCAGGTGAGCGTGGGACTCTTCGCGAGGACCCCGGCGGCGGGCCCCGGGGAGGCGGCCGAGGCGGCGGCAGCCGGGGGCGATATGGCGGAGGAGCAAGACCTCTCCGAGGTGGAGCTGAGCCCCGTGGGCTCCGAGGAGCCCCGCTGCCTGTCCCCCGGGAGCGCGCCCTCTCTGGGGCCCGATGGCGGCGGCGGCGGGGGATCGGGCCTGCGAGCCAGCCCAGGGCCCGGCGAACTGGGCAAGGTCAAGAAGGAGCAGCAGGACGGCGAGGCGGACGATGACAAGTTCCCCGTGTGCATCCGCGAGGCCGTCAGCCAGGTGCTGAGCGGCTACGACTGGACGCTGGTGCCCATGCCGGTGCGCGTCAACGGCGCCAGCAAGAGCAAACCGCACGTCAAGCGGCCCATGAACGCCTTCATGGTGTGGGCGCAGGCGGCGCGCAGGAAGCTGGCGGACCAGTACCCGCACCTGCACAACGCCGAGCTCAGCAAGACGCTGGGCAAACTCTGGAGGTGAGCGCCCACCCGCCTCCGGGACCCCCCGCGGGCCCTCCAGCTGAGGGTGGGTTCAGGCCAGACAGGGATTCCTTGGGCCCATCTCGGCAACAGCACCTCCTGATGGGGCTGGAAGAAGACCAGGTGCGCGTATCGGGCCCGCCCTGCCCCCACAAGTACCCCCTTGGGGTGATGCTGGCTCAGAACTCCCGCGGCCTACGCTGGCTCCCCACTCGGGGCAGCGGGCAGGAAGGCGCCCCCTCGTGGTTGGAATTCCGGTGGTGGCAGGCAGTAGAGCCCGGGCTGCCTCCCGCGGAGTGAAGGCGGGGAGGGAAGGATGGTGGAAGGCTCACACCACAGGCCTTCGCTAACCCCTTTCCCACAGGCACGCACACTCGAGGGTGCCACTGCCGCCAATTCTAGTGGTGGGAGATGCGGGGAAAACGCTTGGGGAAGAACTGAAGGCCTAGCCGGAGAGGCAGGGAAACTGAGGCAGCCAGTTGGAGAAGTAGGGAAGGTTCAAGGAAAGCGAGGAATTGGGACAGGAGTCTTTGAAAGAGCGAGGGCTAGAAATGCGGACAGACGAGTCTGCAGGATCCCGTCCTATCCTGGTTGCCTGCGCTGTGCCTTCTAGACCCCACTCTCCTTAAGGTGGGGGGCTTCTTCCTCCCCAGGGAAGGAGACACACAGAACAAAAGCTTCCCCTTCCCACCTTGTCCCCAAGCTCCCAGGCCTGCCTCCCTCTCCCTCTCTCTTCCAGTTGGGCGCCATCTTCCCTTCCAGGGCCCCACCCAGCACTGAGTAAGCTCCTACCTCTCCAGCCCTGAAGCTGGAGTTCAGAGCCCCAGCCGGGAGGAGACCTTGGCCCCCTTCCTACCCATGGTCCCTCAGAATCCCAGGCTCCCTGGGACCAGCCCAAACCTCCGGGGAATAACATCTGCCCAAGAGGGAAGTCTGCCAACCCTCACCTCAAGTCCGGGTCTCAGCCCTGACCCCTTGGGGACATGTTGAGCAGGGCAACACCCCCACCCCAGAGTCCTGGGCAGCCCACAAAGAGAACAGGGGCTCCAGGAGATGGGAGCCCGCAGAGGTCGCCTGATTCCCCATTAGACTGCCCAGAAGATAGCTCTGAAAGGCTAAGGCACCACAAAGGCCATGTAACAGCTGGTGGCAGGGCCAGGGCCAGAAACCAGGCCTTCTGAATCTTCGACCAGGGGTCTTTCCCTGCCCCACCCTTGGCGACCACGGAGGGTCGCCCCTTTACTCTAAGGCGTGGTCAGGAGGTTGTGAGGGTCGGGGCAGAGAAGAGGAGAGCTGTGAGGCATCTTGGGGTTTCAGAAAGTTTGGGCTTTGTCGGAGGAGCCCGCCACCCCACTGCTGCAGCCCTCTTGCTGGCCCCTAGCACAGTGGGGATTGGATCTAGAAGGCCAAAGGCATAGGGTGGCATAGGGTGGAGGAAGGAGCTGGAGGGCCCCCAAGAGACCAAGAGGGATTCACATCCAGCCCTTTGGCCCTGTCCTTGGCCATGTGTTTGCTGAATGCCTGGTGCCCCCTCTTCCCCTCTCAGCCCTCAGCGCTCTGCTCATCCCGGGCGGGCCCCAGGCTCAGCAGCCAGCCTGCTGCATAGACCCAGAGAGTCCAACTCTGCCCAGGAGCAGAAGTAGAAGCTAGCTCCTCTGCCCAAGGTCCATCCACACCCGCACCCAGGCCAGTGCCCTCGGTGCCATGAGACAAGGGAGAGACAGACCACCATGGTGGAGACAGACAGGCAGGCAGTAGGCCCTGGGGACCATGAGCAAACCATAGCTCAGGCCCAGTGAGAGCATCGGAGCAAGGATAGATCCCCACTTCTCCCACCACCCTGTCACTAAAGATTTAAGATTGGACCCTCCACTGTCCCTGTCCACCTGGCCCAGAACCCTGGGCTTGGGTTCCCTCAACAGGACGCGTTCCTGGCCACCACTCAAGATGTGCGCGCAGGGGCCTAGGGTGCCCCCCACGGGCCAGCGTGGGGTGGGGCGGTCAGGAGAGCAGGCACTGCTTGCTCAGGACCCGATCCCAGGTGTAGGAGGGTGGCAAGACCGTGGCAAGGATCAAAAACGATACCAACATGTGGGCGGGCTGCCTGAATCCTGGGGGATCCTGAGGGCATCTGGACCTGGACTGGGCTGGCCGGTCTCCCCGTGGGCTCCTCCTGAGGTCCCCATCAGGCTCATGACTCCTGGGCCTTCAGGAAGCTTGATGATTATTAGGTCGACAGATCTGGAAAACGGGGGCCCTCAACCTGAAGAGAGACAGACGGACACACTGTGTGGGGTGCTGGAGATGGGGTGGGGTCAGACACACCAACGTCCAGGTCGTGGTTCCTAAGTGGCTACATGAACTGTGACAGTCACGCTAACCCTTGGTTCCCGCCTGAGAAAGGACTGTTAGGTGCGGATCACGTGGCACTGGCTGTATGTTGTTTGACCTGCCTGCAGAATAATTAGAGCCAAGAGATTAAAAGGAGGTAGCAGGCTGGAGCCCTCCTGACCCCCGGCCCGCAGGCCCCTTCCCTGCCTGGAGGAGCAGATGAAGTAGTAGCCAGTGCCCCACCTTAGGAGCACCCCCCACCAAAGGTTGGGGTTTCTGGTTTGGGGGGGAACCAGCCTGCCCTCTCCCCACCCCTATTCCAAACCTCCGCGGCCTGGAGGACAGAGGGGAAGTGGAAGTGCAGATGAGGACGAGGTTTGCAGTCAGAGCTGTGGCCGACACCTGGGAGGTGCAGGACAGTGCTGAGTGAGGGCCAGCGCTGGAGTCGAGGTTAGATTTGAGATTGCGTTTATGGGATGGGGCAGGACGGGTTTGGGGTTAGGAGAGAGCCTGAACAGAGCTGATGTCTGGGTAAGGCTGGGGTTGAGGTTGGAGGTGGGGTTAGCCTCTGCAGCCAGAGAAGGACTGCGCTGGGGTCGGGGCTGGGGTCAGGGGTGGCAGGTGGCTCTCCCTTCCCCTCCCGCCCAAGGTTAGGTTTCTATCGAGGTTAGGGTACTGCGGGGAACTATCATGGGAGGCACAGTGGGATGCAATATTGGAATCGCTCTCTTCTGGCCTGTGCCCTCCCTCCTTGCCCCCTGCCACTTTCTTGCTGATTCACAGTCAGTTGCCAGCTGGGCAGACGGCACAGAGAATATTTGTGGTGGGAGAGTGAGCTCGGTGTCCCTAGCCATCCCAGGAGCCTCTGTGCTGGCTGAGCAGCACCTGCGAGCACAGTCCTACCCCGTACCTACACACACCTTCAGGGCCTGCCCACCCACTCCCCGGGGCCCGGCCTCCCGGAGACCTGGCTGGGGACATGGCTGGTGGGAGGAAGTCTGCATCCCACTCACTGACCCCTGAGGCCCTGCTCTGGGGTCCCCATCCCATCACTCATCACTCGAGACCCTCGGAGAAAGCTGGGCTAGGGCTGGGCTCCACGGCCTGGGGGAGGGGGCCGCGGGGGAGGCTAAGCTGCAGAGGAATGCTGCTGCCCGCTAGGAGGTGCCTGGCATGACCACCCCCTCCCATCCTGGGCGGGGAGGGCTCTGCCTTCTGCAGAGTGGGGGAAGAGGGCACCCACTGGGGGTGCAGGGAGCTTTGAGCAGAGGGACAGAGCTGCTCCTGCGGAGTCCCTTGTGTCTAGGTCTGTGTAATTTCCCCTTAGCGTCCTCACGCTGGGGCGGCTAAGCCCTGAACACCCCCTTCCCTAGCCCTGGCCTGAGACTGGAGTCAGGTGGGCAGGGACAGTGTCTTCAGGACCGCCTTCCATTGGCTGGTCTCAGACTGGGGCGCCGATCCGTCTGCCATTGTCCCGGGTCTGGGAAGAGCTTCCTCTACCCTCCGTCACCCCTAGACAGGATATGATCTCCCCAAGAGGCAGTAAAGGGCACTCGCATCCTGCCCCTTGGCCCCAGATCACTGGAATTCACAGAATCAGGATTCTAGAGTTGAGACGGGCCCACCCCAGTCCTCCTGTCCAGCCCCGCCAAGAGCATGAGAACAGCATCGATTTCTCAAGTGCCTGCCCCTCACACCGGGCCTGGTGCGAATGCTTCGCTTCCATTATCTTGGCCAGTCCCACACCCAGTGAAGTATTGTCCTCATTTTGTAGGTGAAGAAACTGAGGCTCAGAGAAGTGATTTGCCCACGGTCACACAGCTAGCGAGTAGCAGAGACTGGGCTTTTTGCTGCTTCTCTGTTTGCACACCTCAAATCCCAGGGAGCTCACCCCCTGATGAGGCGGCCCCCTCCACTTGCAGATGGCTGTGTGATGAGATTGTTTCCTCTCCTGGAACACATCTGCCCCTCTTAAGTGCCAGTGCTACTTCTAACTCCATCCTCAGGACCGACCAGGAGCAGCAGGCTGACCCCTCTCTCATGCCTCAGCCCAAGAGATTTAGGGGTGAGACCACAGCCCTCGGAGCCTGGGGCTCCTTGAGTCTCACATCTTCCAGTTCGTAGATCAAAGGGCAAGCTCCCATGCTGAGCCCTGCCCGCTGGGCTCCCCATCCCTGGGAAGACACTCACACTGGCCCCTCCGCTGTCTCTCTCCCAACCGCCCCACCCCAGGCTGCTGAATGAGAGTGACAAGCGCCCCTTCATTGAGGAGGCAGAGCGGCTCCGGATGCAGCACAAGAAGGACCACCCGGACTACAAGTACCAGCCTCGGAGGCGGAAGAACGGGAAGGCGGCCCAGGGGGAGTCAGAGTGCCCCGGTGGGGAGGCCGAGCAGAGCGGGGCTGCCGCCATCCAGGCTCACTACAAGAGCGCCCACCTGGACCACCGGCACCCAGGAGAGGGCTCCCCGATGTCGGACGGGAACCCTGAACACCCCTCAGGTGAACGCTGGGGGGAAGCTGGGGGGGGTGGGGTGTGATGGCAAGCTGTTGGTGGGGGAAACTGGGCAGTGGGGAGAAGCGAAGCCTGGATGGCGTGAGGCCCTGACACTCCGCAGTAGCCCTGGGCCCGGGGAAGGGCTTGCCAGGCTGTGCGGTCACCCCAGCTGGGGTGCAGGGGCCCAGAGGTTGCTCAGTGGGGACTCGGGTGCCAGAGGAGGCAGCTGGGCAAGATGACTCTGGCTGATGGAAGGGGGCGGTGCTGCTGAGTGAAGAGGCCAGTTAAGGAGGCCACGGGTTGAGCTTCAACCAGGAGAGGCGGGACAGGATGATTCTGAGAAATGGGAGATCAGACGGAGAAGAGATCATTGCCGTTTTCCCACCTCCCAGTCTGATGGGGGAGACACAGCGTGTGCGGTTGAGCACGTACCACACAAGGGCCAAACATTGTTTCATTCTCATAATAGTAACAGGTAACATTAATTGAGCATCTACTGTGTGCCAGGCACTGTGCTAACTGCCTTATGTGTATTAACTCGCTCAATCATTCTAGACTGGGATGAGGCAGCCACTCTGCCTGGGCTCAGGCCTCAGCTGTGCAGCTTGTTACTCTCTTATGAAGGATGAGAAAAGCGAGAGTAACTTGCTACACAGCTGAAGTCTGAGCCCAGGCGCGTTGGCTCCGGAGCCTCTGCGGGCACCACAGCTGCCTCGCTTGTGCCCGTGATGTACAGAGCACCGTGCATGGCTCAGGCCCTCGAGAACTCCACCTGAGCAGAGCTCGGCCTCCAGAAGACATGTCCGAGACCTCCTTTGTGCCAGGCCCAGGAGCAGACACTCAGGTCTGAGGGAGGAGCCGGGATGAACACACGTGAATGAAGTACAGGAAAAAGCAAGGGCACACAAAGCCACGCAAGACCCAGAGGGAACACGACCCGAGGGATGAGTCACCCACTATCCTTCCAGTCAGGTCTCTCAAAATATCCAGCCACCCACCAGACTCTGGTGAAGGAAGGCTTCTGGAAGGAGGCCGTATCTGAGCTGCTCGGTACTGTCTCTGTTTTACTGATAAGGAAACTGGTTAAGAGAAGACAGAGATCTGCCCAGGGTCACACAGTAGGTGACAGAGCCAGGACTGAAACCTAAAGTCCAAAGTGCCTGGCCAGTGCAGGACTCAGCATTGTCCTGGCCTGATGGCGGAGGCACAGGCCTCTCTCTCTGATAGGACCCCCAGTCCAGCCACACCTCCCCCACGCAGGTACTCATCACCCTCTGAGATCCAGGGATGTGCACGCGCGCACACAGACACAGACACACAGACACAGACACACACACACACACACACACACACACACACACACACCAGAAGACCCTGGACCATGTACAGAACCACCACCTCAGAATGGAACTGTGGGCATGGGCTTTTTCTCAGCCTTCAAGGCCTGGCTCCGCCCCTCTCCTCAGTGGGACCTTGGCCAAGTCCCCAGGGCAGGGGGAGCGGCTTGCTCCGCTGGTCTCCCGTGCTCCCCGCATGCCCCATCACCGCAGCACTTCTGAAGCCGTGCTCCAGCCGCGTGCGGGTCTCAGATCTCCCCCAGCCTGTGAACTTGTGCGGACGGCGACCCGTATTACCTAGGCTTGTATTCCCTGCTCCTGGCACAGAGCCCCGAAGGGTTTGCTGAATGAATACATGAGTGAGACGATGAACACAGGCACAGGGCGGGAGGAGGGCAGTTACC